TCCCACTGGGGGGGGGAATCCGCTCTCCCTTCTGTCTCTCGCACTCCAGGAGATCAAGCTGATGCTGGAGGAGGAGGAGGAGGAGGAAGGGGAGCTGCCCCCCGTGCCCCGGCCGGGGGTCCCGGAGGTCAGTTACCATTTTGCCATTGGGGGGAAGTCCTTCTCCATCATCGTGGACCACTTCCCGGACCTGCTGCCCAAGGTGAGCCCCTCGCTTGAGCCCTTGCCCAAAAGGGAGGGTCTCCCTGCCCTTGTGCCTTCCAGATGGGCAGGGCGACAAACGGCCATCATCCCCAGGGACTGTGCCAGGCTGGGGATGATGGGAATTAGAGTGGCGTGTTGGGAGAACCCTGGTTTGAGAAGACATGAGGCACAGAGGTGGGAGAAGGTTGTTTCATGAAGACAAACCTGGGGGGGGATCTCTTTCAGTTGAGCGCTGTGTTTGATTTTAGAGAGATTGGAGGGGGGGGACCAAAATACAAGAGAAGCATTTTCAGCTTTTTGGAGGTGGTGGGCGGAGGGAGACACCCTAGAAAAGTGAGGAACCAGCCAAGGGCATTGTTTTGGGGAAGCCTGGCTTTCTCCCTGGGCCTCTTTCTGATGGGTGGGGGGGGGTGTCTCCTGGGATCCACGCACACCCACGTGCCTCTTGCCCAGCTGGGCCGTTGCCTCCTTCCTGGTCCGCACGTCCCTCCCCGACCCACAAGGCTGCCCCTTTCGCATCCTCCCCCCCCTTGAAGGCTCTTGCCAGGACCGTCTCCTCCTTCCCTCCCCTCGGCTGCAGCTCCTGCTCTGTGGCACTATCTACGCCCGCATGGCTCCTGAGCAGAAGACCCAGTTGGTGGAATCCCTGCAGAAGATGGAGTGGGTTCCTTCCGCCAGGGCCTTGGCCCGGCTTCGGCGGGGGGGGGGCTGCTTTGGGGGCTGGCGGGAAGGGTGAGGGCTTCCTTTGCCCCCAGTAACTCAGCCTCTTGTCTTCCAGCTATTACGTGGGCATGTGTGGGGACGGAGCCAATGACTGTGGCGTGAGTAGCCTTCTGCCTCTGGGCGACGGCCGAACACCCTTGGGCCGCCTCTCCCTCCGGCTCCGCGAGGGGCTGCCAAAGGGGCCTCCCCCCCTGCCTTGTTTTCTGGCTGGACTGGGCGGGCCTGGGACCATAGGAAAGGGAGTCACAGGGAGCCTAAATCGGGGGGGGGGCAGAAGGATGGGAGGGAGCAGAGGGTTCTGGGCATTCTGTCCGTCATCGTCCCGGCGGAGAGGCCCTTGGGCCGAGAGAAAGAAAGGAGGCTGACCGGGAGGGGGGTCCCTCCTCTCCCTTCCGGCGTGCGGGAGAGGCAGCCTTTGAGCTGTTGTCTCTCGGCTGCTCTTCTGCCCGTCCCCCAGGCGCTCAAGCGAGCCCACGCCGGCATCTCCCTCTCGGAGCTGGAGGCCTCGGTCGCTTCGCCTTTCACCTCCAAGACGCCAAACATCTCCTGCGTCCCAGACCTCATTCGGTAAGTGGCAGCTGGTGCCGTCCCCCCTGCTTCCAGGGGCCCCTGATGATTTCTCGGGGTGTTGTGAGCTGGGATGGGCCACAAGTCTGATGTCAGACGTGCCTCGTGTTTCTCTCTCTCTCTCTAGGGAAGGCCGAGCGGCCCTGGTGACCTCCTTCTGTGTCTTCAAGTTCATGGCCCTCTACAGCATCATCCAGTACCTGAGCGTTCTCCTCCTCTACTCGGTCAGTCTCGACGGGAAAGAGGCCCTTGTGGCCCAGCTCCCAAGTGACGCGGTGTTTTGAGGGTGTTGGGAATGGGAACGTGGAATGGAACAAGGGCAAAATCAGCGGAAGGCAGAAGCAAAACTCCAGACCTCCTGGATAGGCTTGAGCAGTTGGCTGAAAACAAGAGGGTGAAATTGAACAGGGATAAGTGCCAAGTTATACCCTTAAAGGGAAGGGAATCCCAGACACGCAGTTACCAGATCGGGAATACTTGGCTCAGTAATACTATGAGCGAGAAGGTTCTGAGAATTGATGGTAGATCAGAAGCTGAATAGGAGCCCACAGAGGGTGACGTGGTTGCAAAAAAAAGGCAAATGCGATTTTAGGCTTCATTAACAGAAGTGTAATCTCCAAATGGGGGGGGACGTGCAATATGGTGGCGCTGTGGGTTAAACCGCAGAAGCCTCTGTGCTGCAAGGTCAGAAGACCAGCTGGCGTAAGGTCGAAGCCACCTGGTAGATCAGAAGCTGAATAGGAGCCCACAGAGGGTGACGTGGTTGCAAAAAAAAGGCAAATGCGATTTTAGGCTTCATTAACAGAAGTGTAATCTCCAAATGGGGGGGGACGTGCAATATGGTGGCGCTGTGGGTTAAACCGCAGAAGCCTCTGTGCTGCAAGGTCAGAAGACCAGCTGGCGTAAGGTCGAAGCCACCTGATGGAGGCTGCAAGGTCAGAAGACCAGCCGATGTAAGGTCGAAGCCACCTGATGGAGGGAGCTCCCGTCGCTTGTCCAGCTCCTGCCAACCTAGCAGTTGAAAAGCATGTAAATGCAAGTAGATAAATAGGGACCACCATGGTTGGAAGGTCACGGCATTCCGTGTCTAGTCGCGCTGGCCACGTGACCACGGAAACCGTCCTCGGACAAATGCTGGCTCTGCGGCTTGGAGACGGGGATGAGCACTGCGCCCTAGAGTCGGACACGACTGGACTAAATGTCATGGGGAAACTTTACCTTACCTAAGAGGGTTTTTTTTTGCCAGCGGTGGGCTTCAGAGAGTTACAGTCCGGAAATCAGCTCTCTTTCTCTCTCCAACGGCCTGCCTCTTGTTTTTGCAGATTCTGAGCAACCTGGGTGATGTGCAGTACCTCTTCATTGATGTGGCCATCATCCTGTCTTTGGCCTTCACCAGTAAGTGGACTGTGCCTGTCGGACCCTTGGCCAGAGCCCCCACCGCGGCTTCTTGGCATCTCCCCTCCCCACTCCCATTTTTGAGCTCCAGGTCCTCCCAGCACGCCCCACCCCACCCCCTCTTCCTCCCCTAGAACTGCTGTTGTGGAGGAACTGACTTGGTCTGAATTTAGAAATGGTAGCCGTGAACTGCCGGCCGGCTGCTCTGTATGTGTTTGTGCGCGCACGCATGCGCGTGCTATGTTTATCATTGTGCTGTTTTGTTGAGTTGGCGAAAGGTGAGATTTTGTTCCATGAAGTTTGAGGTTCCCTTGCCACACTTTATAGATTTTTCAGCTTGCAGTTTCTCAATGGCCTTGTTTATCCTTTCGTTGTTCATATAAGGTTTCCATTGGTGGTCACTTTGAGCTGCCTTTGTGTTGATCGATTTGCACTTGGCACATCGTGTCAGCTTCTCTGTTAGAAGAAAGGCAGAGCCACCAGTACAGTATGGGAGAGGAATGTGCATGTGCTTCTCGAGAGCTTTGGCAGGAGCCCGCTCTGTCGGTTGGTCGTCCTCTGGCCTCATCTGTGTGCATCTCTCTCTCTCTCTCTCTCTCTCTGAGTCCAAGCTCCACGGTTCTCTCGCCCTGTGGGCAGAGTGGAAGTTGAAATAGCCCGTGGGCAGGTTTGGACCTGCCTAGAGCCCTGGGCCCTGCCCGTGCTTGACCGTTTGGGCAAGGGAGCTCCCTGGTTCCCTCGCTTCCGGAAGTGCAAGACACCAAGGCACATCCACTCTGGCCCTCCGGCTTTCCCTCCTTCCTTCTTTCTTCCCTACCATCCCTAAAAACCCTGGGTCTTACCTAAGCAGGGCTGGCCCTGGTCACACTTCAGAGGAGAGAGACCCCAGGCATCTCCAGGGAGAGTGGGCCGGGAAGGACCCTGCCCGAAAGCCCAGGGAGTCCGTCCCGGCCAAACGGAGCTCCGTGGACGTGAGTTCTCTCCCTCTCCATCAAAGGCTGTCTCTTGTGCTCCCATTTCTTTTCCTTGTCTCCAGTGAGCCTGAACAGGGCATGGAAGGAACTGGTCCCCCAGCGCCCGCCCAGCAGCCTGGTTTCTCCACAGCTGCTGCTCTCCGTGCTGACCCAGATCCTACTCTCGCTGAGCTTCCAGGTGGGGGCTTTTCTCCTGGTCCAGAGCCAGCCATGGTATCACCGCCAGAAAGAGGATGGGTAAGTCCTGGGGGAGCACGCAGCCGCCGCCGCAGCAAGGTCCATTGATGGTGGGCATGGGGCTACCTGGCCTCTTCCTCAAAGTCTCCCCCTGCCCGTTTGCCCACATTTGGGGGAAGGGGTGTGTGTCCCAGGCTCTCCTCATGGCTGAAGGCTCTGCCATTGGGTGTCCTCCTGCAGGACTTGTGGCCTGCCCCCCAACATCACCCTGGTCCCCAACGGCACCAGCCTGACCAACAGCACCCTGGGGAAGGCACCGGAGGAGGAGAAGGACGACGACAGCCACCACGGTGGGGAGGCCGAGGCGGACACGGTGCGGAGCTTTGAGAACACCACCCTCTTCTACATCTCCTGCTTCCAGTACATTGCCGTGGCCCTGGCCTTCGCCAAGGGGCGGCCCTTCCGCCAGCCCACCCAGACCAACGGTGAGGACCTGGCCTTCGGGCCAGAGGGCACTGTCCGGCGGCCCCAACCAAGATGCCAGGCACCCTCCGTGCCGCGCTGTGTTCTGTGCTGTTTGGGGTGGGGGCTGAGGGGAAAGGGGCCCCTCCGGCTGTGAGTGAACGCTAGCTCCCCTTCCACCGGGCTTCCGTGGGGGCCAGGAGCCCCGACTGAATGGGAGCAATCTTTTCACCCCTGCTTTAAGCCACCTTCACACGTAACCCTGTTAACCTTTGGGTTGCAGCCTCTTGAGTGCCAAGAGACCCCGGTGAGGGTGAAGGGGGGTAGCCAGTGGATGAAATCCAGGTCTTGGAAAAAGGACCTTCTGGACTTTCAGAAGGTTGGCCATGGTTTCCGGGAGCTCTCGTTTTCGTTAGTTAGTTTAAAAACCCCTCCTGCCCGCCCCACCCCTGCCCCTGTTGCGGCTAAAGCTCGCCTGCATGTGACGAGAACGGCTGTTGTGTTGCAGTTTGTCTCTCCAAAGTTTTCTCTGCAAATTTGGTGCGCACGATTCCCTCCTCCCCGTTCTTTGAGTTGAGAAGAACGTTCAGAACACATGGCACAAAAGGAGGTGAAGATCCTCCCGGGAACTGACCATCAGTAAACATCAGCACGGTGTGAAAATGGACGACCCATTGAGAAACGAAAGAAAGGGGTGGGAGAAAAAGCCGGAGACGGGGGCTTGTGACAGTTTTTTCTCTCCGCTGGACCAGAAGGGCTTCTTCTTCCTCCGTCTCTTTGTGTCACGTTTCTCATTGTCCGATCCCCATTTTGAGGACATCCCTATGGGAGAAGCAGGCTCAGCAGCCTTCGAATGCAAGGCTCCGGGCAGTCACCGGCGGGGCCTCCCTCCCCTTTTCTCGGCAGGTTTCTTTGTCGCCTCCCTCGTTGCCACCTCCGGGTTCCTGCTTTTCCTCCTGCTGTGGCCGATCCCTGCTTTGGACCAGTTCTTTGAGGTAGGGAACCCCACCCCACCCCAGCCCGGCCCAGATCCTTCCCTCCCATGCACCACCGAGCNCCCTTCCCTCCCATGCACCACCGAGCCAGTCCAGCTGTTGGCGCGAGGACGTGAGGGACGTGCGCTGAGCGGGGAGAGGGGCTGGGCAGTCCCACATCCAGCCCCTTATCTTGGCTGGCCTCCCTTTCCTGAGGCCGGGCGGGGCAGCCGATAAAACCCCCTCCAGCTTGGGATGCAGGAGGTTCACGTTCTGTCCCTGGCGGGGTCCGGCCTGTCGCCCCCAAGAGCTGCCTTGGTGATGATCGCCCAGGGTTAAGCCACCACCACCACCACCACCCGCGGAGGCATTTGCCTGGAGCTGAGAAACACATTCTTCTTGTCACGCGGGGGGGGGGAGATCTCATACCTGCCCATCTCTACCTTGGAGGTTTACCTGTGGGAGGGAACGCCCTGGGATTGGGGACGGGGGACGGAGGGGGGAGGATCAGCCACGAAGGGGAAGGCACATCCTGCAGCCCCCCAGGTCTGGGGGTGGGTGGGAGTTGGGCCGGGGGG